GGGAGGGAGATGGGAAGGGGAAAATAAGGAAGGAATTCAACATTTCTGCCTACCAGGCTCTGTGCATGGTTCTGATTATCACTGGAAAATATCCAGTGACCCATGACAGCACTATTATCCATTAAGGACTTTTCTTCACTAAATTTGGTAATGAAATAATGTTACTGACTTGAAATAGAAGACCATCAGTAATCAGAATCAGATATTTTTAAAAACAGAGCAAGCTTACTAATTATATACAGGAATAAACACCCTATTTAAGTGACTCTAAAACATTATTGGTAGTTTAAAAAAAATTACTGGAAGATAATATTTTTTGGAATGACGATCATCCTAGTGTTAGATCAGAGTTTGTTTACAGCAAATCTTCCTTCTTTATTTCACTTGCCATCACTTGTTGGCGATATTCACCTGGTTTGTGGAATCCCAGATTCAGTTTACATTGCTATTCCTCACATTCTGATGTTTGCAAAAATAATTTCTGAGTCCATGATACTTTCTGCAGTTAAGATATTTCTTTTTGTTTTGTTCTGTTTTGCCTGGGTACAGGAAGCTATAATAGAAGAAAGAGCAGCTCAAGTAGAAGAAAACATCCACTTGATCAGATTCCTGAGGTTTCTTGCTAACTTCTTCGTGTTTCTAACACTTGGAGGGAGTGGATACCTCATCTTTTGGGCTGTGAAGCGATCCCAGGAATTTGCACAGCAAGATCCTGACACCCTTGGGTGGTGGGAGAAAAATGAAGTTCGTCTCTGCATGCTTTTTATGTGCCTAGAATCTGATGTTTGTTATTTTGTGGGTTATGCTTATATGATGGAACATTCAATAAGGCCATTCTTTACCTAGTCCCCATCCTGCCCTTGCAGTTAACCAACCCTGTTGCACATTTTCCACTCTATTTCAGTCTTATTTTTAAATCTGTGCTATCTGGTTTCCATTTTGTGACATGATGAAAAGTTAGAGTCAGAAGAGACGTTAGAAAACATATAATATAGTCCACCTATAGCTGGACCCGGGGCCAAGTACTGGTTGCCCGAAAGCTAAACTGGAAAGATGAGAGTTGGTGGGAAAAAAAATAGTTTTATTCAAGATCCAGCTATCTGAGGAGATGGCCGAGTAATGTCCCAAATACCATCTCCGATGTTCAGTTTTGCTGTGGGGCTTATAAAGGGAAACCTGGTATAGGAAACATGCAGGTTTCCCTTTATACATGCAGTGGTGCAGGGTGCAGTGTCTCTATTTCTTTGCCCTGATGGCTATCTTAAGTAATTACCTGTCCAGAGTCTGGCTGACATTTTCTTGACTATGGCATGGTGGTAGATCAATCACTTGCGACTCCCCTCAGGTGGGAAGGTTCCACAATCGGAGCTCCATGCCTGGTTTGTTCCAAGATCAGCCTCTGAAATTTCCTAAGCAGTAACATAATGAGAAAAGCAAGCATGATGGCATCAAAAGGTGCCAGAGAAAGAATAAAGGAGCAGCTGTTAAGAAGGTGAGGAGAGAAGAAACTAAGAAAGGGAGATTGTCTAAAATGTACTTTTAAATTCTACATTCTCTGTTACACAACCACTACCATTTACTGGTGAGAATGACAAATTGCCAGATATTGGGTGATACGTTTATTGTCACAGAGTTAAAAGGAGAGTCAGAGTAAGAATCTAGGAGTCTTGATTTCAAGTCCAAGACTTTTTTTGTTTCATGACTCTACATTGCTTTCTCTATAAATCCCTCATCTGTCATTAAAAGATTCAATTTTTGCCTAAATTCTTTGAAGCAGAGTCATGATAAAGCCCTTGGTTCCTATATTGATCTTACTGGAAACATTCAGATAGCCTCCCCAACTTTGGGCCAGTCTGTGCTTTCCTCTGTTTTTCACTAGAAACCCAACTGTGCATCTCTCTCTCCTTCTGGCTGCCTTCCTCTCCCTCCAAATACTATTCAAATAAAGAAGGCCAGCTCTTTGCCAGGTATGAAATATGATCATTATTTGCCTTAAGAATATCTGCTCACTTAGTGGGTCAAAGAAAGGAGGTTAGAGGTAGATATTTAGAATCAGGAAATCATTGGTCATGAGTTGTTGCAAGGGCCTGTTCTCTTTCATAAAATGTCCATGCATACAGTGTGACATTATTTTGAGCTTGGGCATTTTCAAAGTATGTGCAGATTTAGGCTGTAGGAAGTGTAGACTTCCCACACTGAAAGTTTTGCGCAGCCTTGTAGATCAAAAAAAATTAAGATAAACCTTCATAATCATAGAATTTCCATTAAAAAAAATGTCTTGGACAACAAATGATATAATCTGCTTACAAAAAAAGACTCCAAATACAAACATTCTAAATATTTCAGAAGTGGTACCGATAGAGACAAGAGACCATACATATATTTTAGAGACAATAATATACAGTCATTTACGAATACCTATAATACCTATAGAAGTCATTAGACAGAAGGATTTTATTTATTTAAAACAAAGGTACACTTCAAAGCATTTACTAAGTTTGCTTTCAAAATGTTCTCTTATAATTGCAACAATTCATGTAGGCAATAATATCATGCAGTTTTGGTCCATGGTTTATATTGATCATATTTTTGTACAAGTTAACTGTAATTAGAGGATAAGTAGTTTATCATCAATAAAAGAGTCATTCTTTGTAAGAACCTCTTTAACATCCATTTTAGGGAACCCCAGAATTCTAGGGACCAATTAAGGTGATAATGGGGATTCATGAATAATTTTACAAATTTGATAAAACCAAATTTAACTTTACCTTACATAAGAGTGTGCAGAATCTGCCAAATTTTTACATTAGGCTGAAATTATATCTTTCTAATTTTGTATTATGTCATGCCAAGTATTAGATTCTGTTGATCATACTTATATAATCTTCTCAATAAGAATGACAAAAACATATTAGCAACTATTTTCTAAGCATAATCTCATAGTTATAATCATTCACAACATGGAGTCTATGGAAGGAAACAGAAAATGTTTAGTGGTAATCAAGCTGAGGCAGGTTTTTTGGGAAAGACAATTACCAGAGTTACCTAAAATCATTTCTTCCCCTTTATAAAATTAGTACATGTTTTGGATTTTCTTCTATGATTTAATTTAGCCTAACAATATAATCATAAAGGTGCCAAACAGCCAGGAAATGAGAACCACACGCTTCCTACTTTTTTGTTTCTCTTGCTCTCTCTCCCCACTCCTGCATTATTCTTGCCTTTGGCATTATAGTCTTATTTTTGGAAAATTTTCTACCTTGTACCTTGGTTTTCATAACATTAAGTCATGTGTTCTTCATTTGTTTCTCTGAATGTCTTCTGTTTTCTTTGATAAAACCCATTCCCCCTCCCTTTTTTTGCCCCAAAAGTTTGTATTCCCCAAGATTCAATATTTAGACCTGAGCCCATCTCAGTGAGTTCATCCATTCTAACTGATTTGCTGGTTTTTGTTAAATTAGTATTTCCAGTTTTAACCTCATCCTCAAGCAGATCACTTTCCATTGCCTTTGGTAATCTTGTAAAGTGTGCCTCCATACCAAAATCAGTTACCATGTAGAACAATTTGTATTCTCTGGGTGGAGAGTGCTGTTAATTCTATCCCTCACTATACCAGGAAACAGATTATTACTACTAGTGCATACACTCACTCACAAACATATATATCTTGAGAATGTGAGTTAAATATTATCTGTGTTGCTTTATTGTAACAAAAAATGCATGAAAAAAATCTTTTTAGTTGTATAAAAGATCAAAGAAACTTAGCTGAGAATCTCCCAAAATTCCAGAGGAAAGCAATAATTATTTTAAAATACCATTAACCTAGTTTCTCCATTTTGTCTCCTTGTAGATGAATATGGTTATGTCCCTCCTGGGGATGTTCTGTCCAACATTGTTTGACTTATTTGCTGAATTAGAAGACTACCATCCTCTCATTGCATTGAAATGGCTACTGGGACGCATTTTTGCTCTTCTTTTAGGCAATTTGTATGTGTTTATTCTTGCCTTAATGGATGAGATTAACAACAAGGTAAGCCTGGTGTCTGGATTGTTCTTGCCATTAAAGTGTTGTTCAAGTCCCACTCTCAAGATTGCCAGAAATGCCTTTGAAAACTGTGTTATATTGATTTTTGTTTCCATCTCTTTGCTTTCTAGATTGAGGAGGAGAAACACGTTAAGGCCAACATTACCATATGGGAAGCCAACATGATCAAGGCCTACAATGCATCACTCTCTGGAAATAGCACTGGACCACCCTTTTATGTTCACCCTGCAGATGTGCCTCGAGGACCTTGCTGGGAAACGATGGTGGGACAGGTAATGCCATTAATGAAGTGCATGGCAATTAGTAGATTTAAATTAGTGGATTCAAAAAAGAACAGAGTCGATATTTTTTCTGTAAAGGTGACCTTTTTTTTAATTGCTTGTTAATAAAAACAGCTAAGATTTATTTATTGTTTGCTGTGTGTTGGCTCTGAATTTCATATATATTATCTCATGCAGTACTCGCATCCATCCCTTGAGGTAAATACTATTAATATGCCCCTTTTATGGCTTCAAATACAAGAATAGTTTAAAATGGTGCAAGGAGCTATTTACTGTCTATTTGTGTTATAATAAAGCACCCAGGTCAGGCTCAGTGGCTCAGCCTGTAATCCCGTGCTTTGGGAGGCTGAGGTGAGTGGATTGCCTGAACCCGCGGGTTCGGGACACGCCTGGGCAACTTGGCGAGACCTCATCTCTACAATACATCAAAAAAATTAGCCAGGTGTGTTAGCGTGTGCCTGTAGTTCCAGCCACTGGGAAGGCTGAGGCAGAAGGATCGCCGGAGCCCAGCAGGCCGAGGCGGTGGCCGGGAGCGGCCACTGCACTCCAGTCTGGGCGACTGAGTGAGACTCCAACTCAAAAAAAAAAAAAAAAATCACCCGGATTTAGATACAGGCCCAAGCAAATATTTAAATGGAACTCTATTTAATTTTACTTGTTTGCTATAAAATAAAGAAAAACAAACGAAAAACCAAAATAGGTTCTTTGGGGAGCACACCCTGATACCAATTTTGTAATTCAATCTTTGTCAAATAATTTTCCTTTAAGAGTTAAAGAAAATACTATTGTAAGTTATTTATTCTCAAGAAAATTTTGTAAATGGCCCCAAATTACTTGTATTCTACCAGAAAAGAGAAATAACATTGTATATGACTTTCTAGCCAATAAGAGAAACCAAGCTAAATAAAATAAATAAATAAATAAATAAAATAAATAAAAATCACACAAAAAATCTACTTCAGGTCTCTTATTCTTAAACAGATCCAATTTATATTATGAAAATCTTATGATTTTATCTCATGAGAATAGACATTCCTAATTTGCATTTCATAAACTAATTTTTAACTTTATCAAGAACAGATATTTTAAAAATATGTCATAGCGCTTCTGTTTATTAGACAACAGTTCGGTTTCAGTAGTAATGCAGTTTTTGTGAAATTATCTGCATAATTTTTTGTTGTTTGCCTATTTTTGTAAGATAAAAGAAAAGTTGAAGGATTAGCACTAGTTTTAACAAAATCATATAATTTAAACAAATATGTAAAATCATTCAATATTTTTAGCCTCAATCAGATGCACACCAAACTCAAGCCAATAAATTATTATTTCTATTGTGGAAGAAAAAAATAAGACAAATATATATATAATGCTAGGCATATATCATTGAAGGTTTGAGTACAAAAAATTATGATGTAATTAAGTATTTTATTTTATTTTATTTGTTAAGCTTTCAGGGACCAGATAACACCTCCTTCCTTGTTATATGTCATTATTTGATTTTCAGACTTGTTCATTTCTTACAAGTTTACAGGAACATATTTTGTATGAACTAATAGGTGAAATAAAATAAAAGTGATCTGCAGTTAGTAGAGAGGTGCTTATGATGTAGAGAATAGTAGTCCTCTAAAGTTGTCTCTGTCCTAATTGCTGGAACAAAGAATACATTACATGTCAAAGCAGATTTGTAGATGAGATTAAGTTAAAGATCTTGGATTGGAAAAACGATTGTGGGTGATGTGAGTGAACCTGATGAAATCACCAGGTTCTTTCTAAGTGGGAGACAAAAGAGAAAAAAGTCAGAAAATTGAGCTATGATAATGGAACCAGAGGGCAGAGCGATGTGCTTTAAAGACGAAGGAAGAAGATGGGCCAAGGAGTGCAGGTGGCCTCTAGAAGCGGGAAAAGTCAAGGAAACAGATTCTCCCCCTATGTCTGCACTTTGATTTTAGACTTCTGACTTCCAGAACTGTTTAGGAAAATAAATTTGCATCGTTCTAAGCCACTAAATTGTGGTACTTTGCTACAGCAACAACAGGAAATGAATACACAGGGGTATGTGGGATTTCATGTTCCAAGACTCTTTGAAGTGATGTGTGGTCATGGTGCTTAAAACGAGTCCATTTTATCACATCTAAGCTGCTCCATAAATCTTTAGCACAAGACTCAAGAGAGGAAGAAGAAGAAAGGACAGAGTTTACAAACTCAAAGGATTTGAGACATCTCTTCTGTGCATCCTAGAATGTGGGCTAGCATGAGGGCCAAGAAATCTACTCCTTAACAGGCAAATATCTATTAAACAGGAGTAATAGAATTAACTGTAAAGAATAAAATCTGAGCTAGCCACGTCTGGAGAGGAGAAATGTATTAATTAGCTATGAATGCCAGTGCATTCTAGGAAAATATTTATGTTTCAGATGCAGAATATTCTGCAGTATTCCCACACGTACTGATTTAAAATAACAGGAGTATAATTTACTTAATTATTCCTCTTGGAAGCCTCTGGACCATGCTGCTTGTTTATTTTATTTATTTGTTTGTCCATTTATATGTTTATTTATTTATTTAAATCTTGTCTACAGTGACTTTCCTTGACTCATTAGCTTCCCTTATTGACATTTATAGTTGGATTTGCTCCTTGTTTTTGACTTTTCTTTCTCTAAAGGAGCATTAAGCACTTCTGGAGTAGTATGCAGGAGCTGACCAGGAGGAAGGGGGTTGTGGTTCTGACTAGAATGTTCGTAGGCTGGTGGAATCCCTGGGAACAAAGAGAATATAAAGGACATAACAACTCTGAGTACTGGCAAGGTCAAGCCTTTAGAAATTAATATCTATATCCATGAATCTGAAACATGTCTATTATTTATTGCATAAAAAGCATGACTCCAGAAGAAAGGCAGCTGCTTTGCATGTAATGTCGAAGATGCGCCTGAAAGCCTCATTAATTGTTCTTCAAGAATATTCTAGATGTTTCCCCTTCTCCATGGATGCCTTCTGCCTTTGATTCTCCTCAAAGACGCTGTGGGACTCAAAGCTCTCTTTGTTTCCAATATAAAATAATTTGACTGCCTTTTTATCCCTGCAAAGGTTCTTAACCCTAACCCAAACCGTAACCCTAACCCAAACTGTAACCCTAACCCTAACCCTAATCCTAACCCTAACCATTTAGTCTCATCTCTACTGGCGTTTGATAAGTAGGCAGCAGAGCCATTTTGGGGGGATAGCTGTTTGAGGCTGTATATGCTGAGGTCTGTATTTCAGAGAAGAGAAAGCAACAGCTTAAGATAACCACAACAATGACTAATATTCATCGAATACTTCTAATGTGTCAAGCATTACCTCCTTGTATGCTTAAACTACCCTCTGAGATACTTTATATTATTCCCATTTTATAGATGAGGAGACTGAGACTTAGAAAGGTATTTTGCTCAAGACTTCCCAGAAAGTCAATGACAGGAGACTAAATTTAGCCTATATAATCTGCTTATAGAGTTTGTGTCCTGATTGTCCCTTAGAATTGTCCCTTAGAAACTAATTAACATCAATACACACTCTCCAAACTCCAGACTTGGAATATCCACAGTCTGTGCCCCTTTATGATGTCTCTTGCCTGTTTTTTTCCATTTACCTACCGATGAATGAGTCTCTTAGGTTAACTGATTAAAGTTGTCCAGGCGTTTTCACGAAACGTCATGAGAGTACAGTTTTAAAATGTGGAGTATGCGACTCAACAGGAGGCCTGCGTGGGGTCTGAAAAGCACACTAGTAACTGGGAATGAATGATGCCCCTGAGATGGATGGACTATTTTTTGGATTCCCTTTTTCCGAAATGTAGTTCTCCTATGGTATGTGAATAAAAATTATTATTATTACTATTTTTTGAGACAGGGTCTTGCTATGTTGCCCAAACTGGTCTTGGACTCCTGGGTTCAAGTAATCCTTCTGTCTTGGCTTCCCAAAGTGCCAGGATTACAGGTGGAAGCCACCATGCCTGACCTGTGAATAAACATTTAAAAATGTTAACATAATATTTGGATTCTCTTTAGGCACTTTATGTGAAAGTTAGGGCACTGCTTGGGAAGGAATAGGATTTCAGTCATTTTGATGAAGATGCTTAGGAGGATGTGGAAGACTTCCAAAATACTCAAATGTTTTCTTACCTGAGGAAGTCTTCAGACCTGGCAGTGAAAACTGAAAAACCTCCTCATAGTCTACTTCTAATTGATACCGATTATTAGAATCTGAACCCAACATTGCCCGGGGAAGGTGGGCATGGAGGTTGCGTCTGTAACTCCAGCTACTCAGAAAGTTGAGGCAGGAGGATTGCTTGAGCCCAGGAGTGTAAGTTCAGCCTGGGCAACATCGTGAGACCTTGTCTCTAAACAAATTCTAAAAATAAATAAATAAGCCAGGCTCAGTGGCTCAGCCTGTAATCCCAGCACTTTGGGAGGCCTAGGCAAGTGAATTGCCTGAACCTGCAAGTTCGAGACCAGCCCAGGCAACTTAGCAAGACCTTTCTCTACAACAAATTTTAACCGGGTATGGTAGCGCATGCCTGTCGTTCAGGTTGCTTGGAAGGCTAAGGCGGAAGGATTGCCGGAGCCCAGCAGATCAACGCTGGGGTGGTCGTGAATGTGCCACTGCACTCCAGCCTGGGCGACAGAGTGAGATGCCAACTCAAAATACATACATACATACATAAATGATAAATAGAACATCACCTTGGGAAAGGAAAGCAGACTAGGAGTAGGAAAGATATAAAGTTATATCCAGAAATAACTGTAGAAATATTATCACTCATTCATTTCATATTTATTGAATGCATGCCAAGTACCAGGCATTGTGCTAGATACTAGAGATACAAGGGGGAACTTACATGCACCAAAAATTATAAATTTACAATGGCCACAAACACTACAAGGACAGAATGCATGGACCCCGAAAACTTTTTAAAGGACCTTACCCTTGTCAGGGAGGTGAGGGAGGCTTTGCTAAATTGGTAATGCTGTAGAGATAAATATTCGTTGGCATAAATGGAATCAAGAAAGAAGTGAAGTAAGAGAGACTGAGTAGAGTGAGACTGTATGCAAAGGCCCTGTGGCCTGAAGTAGTGTGGAGTTTGAGTGTCTGGAAGAAGGCCATTGAGGCTGGAACAGAGAAAACAAAGGGAAGAGCAAGAAGAATATGGAGATGAAGGCAGGAGTCAGATTATGTAGAAGCTTTCAGATTACGCTGAGACCTCACACTCTCTTGTCTCACTTTTTAACTCCAGTTGTTTTTGCTGTCAACAACTGCATGCAGCTGTTACCTGACAGTATCTAGACCAAGCTGCACACATATTCTCACTTATACCCTGACGATCTTTGCTATCATTGTGTGGGACATTAATACCTATGGGGCCATCCTTGACTAATGGGAAATGGAAGCTTCTCTCTTGTGAGTAGGCAGCTCTGAAATTTACTCTCTATGTCTACTAAGGGGGTCCCCAGAAAAATTAGGACCCACTTGCCCCAATAGTGACAGCTTTTGACATACTTTGGGGGGATGCCTTTCTCTTCTTTAGCTGTTTCATTCCTCCCACTTCCTACTCATGTTCTTTGAGATCACCTCCCAAAATGCTCTGCTGCTTGCAAGTCCTCACTTGTCACAAGTGCAACTTTTGGTGGGAACCAAGGTGAAGACCATTTCTTATATTTTTAAGTTTCAGTGTAATATATTTTGTTTTTATTGTATTTATTTTACAGCTAACTTGCATTTATGGCAGATGATAGACACATCTTCCATTTATAACAGTAACAGTGATCTTTTTAAAATAAACGATATTACATTTAAAGAAAATATCAGATAAATAACATCCAGAGGGTACTTGGACATGGCGAGGATTGTGAAGTGTGGCATGATTGTGCAGAATGTAGAAGGCACTGCGTGGGGTGTGAAGCTGGAATTCAACCGAATGACTCCTAGTCAAGTGGGTCTTTGTCCCGTGAGACAATTCTTCCTCATTAGTTATTTTCTTTTTTTTAATTAAAAAACTTTTTTATTTTAAAGATGTGGGGTACAATTCAGGGTTAGGTATGCAAATGTTCATTATGCAGGTACCCTTGTTAATGAGGTATGCCCCCCGCATCTGGCAGATTCCCACTACTGCCAATCCCATCCCCCTCCCCCAGCAGTTTCCCACTACTGACAATTTTTTCTTATAGTGTTACAATAATTGATCAAGGTCCGCTTATGAGTGAGAACATATGGTACTCAGTTCTTTGTTTCTGTGATAGTTTACTCAGTATTATAGACTTTATGTCCATCCAAGTTACTATGAAGTTCACAATTTTGTCCTTCTTTATGGCTGTGTAGTATTCCATCATGTGTATGTACCACATTTTTGTTTATCCAGTCCTTTTTCGATGGGCAGCACGGTTGGTTCCATGTTTTTGCTATTGAGAACGACACTGTAATAAATATACGGTGTGCAGGTATCTTTTTCATAGAGTGATTTGAGTTCCTCTGGGTATATTTCCAGTAGGGGATTGCAGGGTCATATGGAAGATTCAATTTTTATATCTTTTAGGAATTGCCAAACTGTTTTCCACAGAGGATGGCATAAATGGAATCAAGAAAGAGGTGAAATAAGTGAGATTGAGTAGAATCTCTCAGTGTAGAAGTGTTCCCTTTCTCCTGCATCCTCTCCAGCATCTGTTGTTTTCTGAGTTATTGATGATGGCCATCCTGACTGGGGTTAGGTGATATCTCAGTGTAGTTTTAATTTGCATTTCTTTGATGACTAGTGAGATAAGATAGACAAGTGGGACCTCATAAAACTGACAAGCTTCTGCAAAGCCAAAGAAACCATCAAGAGAGCAGGAAGATAGCCCAAAGACTAGAAAAAATATTTGCCAACTGTAAGTCTAACAAAGGCCTAACATCTAGGATCTACAAGGAACCAAATGTACCAAAAAGAAAAAAAACAAGTAGCCCCATTACAAAGTGGACAAAAGATATGAATAGACACTTCTCAAAAGAAGACATATGGGCAGCCAATAGACGCATGAAAAACTGCTCATTAGTTATTTTAGAAGGAAGACTACTTGGTAGCTTGGAGTAGAAACCAAAAGACTTCTCATATTATGGAAGAGCATTAGTAGTCTGGCAAAATAAGTCTTGTTAGATGTTCAGTGTCTTTAGCTTTAGGGCATGGAGGAATAGAAAAGGAAGAGCGGACATAAACTATCATGATGATAAGTTATAGTTGAATGTCTATTCTTATATTTATTGCCTATTGTCAGACAAGTTCCACGAGAAAATTGTGAACTTTCCCTCAAACCCATAGCACATAAACTTTGTACATAAAATGAAGTCCACACCACAGAGGTTACCAGTTTCTAATTTTCCAGACCTTTTCTTTGTACATACAAGGGGGAACCTACCCCAAAATTGAAATTGTATTTTGGAGAGCAGGCATTTTGTAGTACATGCTTCAAGTGTTCTAGGAATCCATCAGCAACACTGTGCCAGCTAGTATTGTTTTTGAAAGGCTGCATTTAGCTACAGTGAATATTTTTTGAAGATTCTTTCAACGCATTTGCCCATTTCATGATGGGGGATTTATGAGTGCCCCTGCCCACACCTCACTGCATATTCAGCAGTTTTTGACCAAAGATGGCGTGACATTTGTGTCCCACCATTTCTGTTCACCCGACCTTGTTCTGAGTGCCTTGTTTTTGTTTTCCCTATGAAAAAAATTTTCAGAGGGAAATGTTTTGTTCATGTGGAAGAAGTGAGACAAAAAACTGCAGAAGCACTAAAAGGCATCAAAATCGATGAGTTTCAAAAACTGTTTTGAGCAGTAGAAAAGAGCATCTTGATAAATATAATGTTTTGAAGATGACTGAAGTTTAAATATGTAGAAATCAATACACAGTTTTTAATAAACAAATTCTGGTTTTGGGGGCGCCCCTCCTTGTATATACACATAGGAGGTTTTGTTAACTCATTTTGTTAATGAGTTCAAATTATATATACTGTTTTGTAGTTTTTCAAAAGTTGGAATCTCACTCTGTTGCCCAGGCTGGAATATAGTGGCATGCTCACGACCACCCCCGTGTCAACCTGCTGGGCACCGGTGCTCCTTCCATCTCAGTCTTACAAGTAGCTGGAATTACAGACACACGCTACCACACCCAGTTAATTTTTTTGATTTGTTGTAGAGACGAGGTCTCGCCAAGTTGCCTAAGTTGTTCTCAAACCTGTGGGTTCAGGCGATCCCCTCACCTCAGCCTCCCAAAGTGCTGGGATTACAGGCTGAACCACTGAACTGGCCTTGTTTTGTAATTAAAAAAATTTTTTTTCCTATCAGAGCATAGCATCTTAGTACTTTTAAAATACTTTTGTTGATATATAACTCACATACCATACAGGCACCTATTTCAACTATACTACTCAATGGTTTGTAGAGTATTCACACAGTTGTGCATTTATCACCACAATAGCATTTTGTTTTAAGAGCTTACAATATTCCACTGCATGAGCACTCATTTTGTTTTATTTCATTAATCTCCTGAGCATATTTGAACTTATTCTATTTTTTTTTAATTCAGAAGAAGCAATACTTTCATAGTTGTACATATCGATTTGTGCACTTATGTAAATATTGCTGTAAGATACATTTCCAAAAGCGGATTTTCTTGATCAAATTCCAAACACTTTAAAATGTGATGAATCCTGACAAATTTCACCCCAACATCATTCCAGTTTAACTTCCTCATCAGTTTTTGTGAGTACAGGTCACTACAGTCTCACCAATGTGGGGAAGCACGGATTGTAAACCACTCATCTCTCTGCAAGGCAACAACTCATTGTTTTCATTTGCATTTTAATTATGTGGGATTAAAGTATTTTTCAATGATTTCATAGGTTATATACAGTCTGTGATTTTTTATTTGTTCTTTTTGCCAGTTTTTTTTTCTTTATTGGATTGCACATCTATTTTCATACCAATTTATAAAATTTTTTTAATGTGTTAAGAAAACTAAACCTCTGTTATATATATGTTGGAAATACTTTTTTCCAAGTTTTTCTTTTAACTTTATAAATAGTGCCATTTGCCTTATAGAAGTTGTAAACTTCTGTGTGGTCAATACTCTCCTATCTGTTTTTGATTCTTGTGTCACACTTATAAAATTTCTCAGTAAGAAGAATTTGATACAGTGCACGGGACATCATTTTTAGACTAATGAAACAGGGGCGAAATATTTTTCATTTACTAGATATACCTCGCTGTTTTTTTTCTTGTGTCATTAATTGCAGTCTTCAAGTCAATAACATTTTAGAAGCATAACAGATTTGATGCCAATGGTAAGACCATTTGAAGACAGAATTGCATGTATTAACAGAGATAATATCTAAACAGGAATTTGTGCGACTGACTGTCTCTGATGTTCTGACCACCTACGTCACAATCCTTGTCGGGGACTTTCTCAGGGCATGTTTTGTGAGGTTTTGCAATTACTGCTGGTGCTGGGATTTGGAATATGGATATGTAAGTATGATGTTAATTTTTCTCTTATCAAATTTTTTCCTTTGTGATTCATCATGTACTCACACTATGCAAGAGGAAGGCACCACAGAGTTTAGTGGGTGAGATCACTGACCAAGGGCAATGAGCACAATTGTAATTCAGATGACGTCAGATTTGAGGATCACGACTAACAATATTCTAGTAAAATTAGCACAGGATGGCTAAAGTAATGGACTTCAACCTGTTAGTTAAGACATTGAACTCAGTAAATCTTAGCCCTATAGTCAGCCTTCTTCCCATAAGCTTGCTGGCATTTCTAAAGGCAAGGCAGGATGGCTAGTATCCACTCATATTCTGTTAACTTCTTTGAATTCTACTAAACTCTTGGATAATTATCTTATGCCAGTCACTGGGTAGTAGACTGGAGGATAAAAGGATTTGATAATACTTGCTTCATAAAGCTCACAGTCTAATGAGTGCCACAGAGACACAATCAGGGGGTTGCAGAAGTTTCAAGAGAGGCCCAGTTTGCTGACAGGGCTCTGGCTTACAGTGGAGCTGAATTCTGGCAGGGTTCTCAATGGTGCAGGTTTCTCATAATTGCAATGGTGCTGACTCCATTGCCAGCTATCCTCTATGCCCAGCTCCAGGTACCCCATCACTCTGTGATCTAGCACATCATCGGGTTCCCACTGTTCCTGTTTTACAAATAAAACTGGCTCCAGTCAACTCGGGAAATATGACTGGGGGATTGATAGTATTCATCTGCTTAAAATCTTCCAGTAGCTTCCTAAGCACTTAGAATGAATTTCAAATCTCTTTTGAGGTCATCAATACCCTGTATAATCTGCTTTTTTCTTTCTCTGTGAGCTCATTTGGTACCACTTTTGCTCTAGCTTTGTAAAGTCCACAAACGTGGGTTTCTTTTTTATGCTCACACACAGATGCTCCTTGCATTTGCCCTGTTTCTCCCTCAAGGGGTGATGCTGCCCTAGAGCTTGGCATGACTTATTCCTTCTCGTCAATAATGACTCAGCTAATGTGCCACCTCCTTAGAGCTCTTCTCTGACCATCCAATCTAATATAGCCCATCGGGGATTCTCTATTTCAACACACTGTTTTATTTTCTTCATAAAATGTGCAACGACTTGATATTTCCTTTTAAAAACGTGCTTATAATCTGTCTCCCTCTATAAAAACAGAGACCCTCACCTCTGTTGTTTGAATTTCGCTAATCACATGGCAGGTGTGATGTGTGGGCTGATTGACTGAATGTTAGAACTCCCCATTCTAGCACCATTAAGGCATCACTGTCCACTCAACCTCTGTCCAGGGATGTGCCCGTGGAGTGTTAGTGTTCTTAGTGTTTTTGAACTAGTGATGCTTCTCTCTTCATCCATGAAGAAATATCCTTCACAGCCCATCTCCCTTCTTTCTCAAGCCCTCTAGTCTCTAGATAAGTACTATATTCAGGACTGTTTTCAAGATTCCAGGCTAGATTCTCTGTCTGGCTCCCACTTTGAGATGGTACCTTTAATGAGATCATCATCATTGTCCTCACTAAAAGTGCCTCCTTGGACCAGCCAAAAGCAGTTAGGTAATACTCTTCGGTGAGCAACAGTGAGCTAATGCAATAGATCCAGGATGCTTTTGTGTTGCCTTCCCATTCCTTGCTATGAGGTATTCAGCTGGCTTGGTTTCATTTCTATTTTCCTTGCCTGATTCAGCTCCTCTGAGGCAGGCACCAAAATTGCCATTTCTTTCTTAGGCCAGGGCTTGGCTTCTGCTTGCCTTTTATCTCTTGCTGCTTTCTTCTTAAGTGGCAGAAAATCTGACTCCAATTATGAAGTCAATATAGCATGATCTGGATGCATAAAAGCTGTCATTAAATGACTATAATTTATTATTTATTGAGTGCTGACAGTGCTCTTGGGTAAGTACAAAGTATGGGAAAAAAGACAAATTCCTGTTTTAGGTCACAGAAAAAGAATTTTCTCCCATGTTACCTTTGAAAAGCTCTTTGGGAAAAAACTCAGAATCAAAAATAAGTTTTAAAACATCAATGTTGGATGATAAATCTTTGATGTGGATACTATTGTCATTGACCCACCAGATGGTTAGCTTTTCACAGTTCAGTGCCTACTAGGTGCAAAACACTATGAGCAAACCTCTGTGCCAGGTGATAAGGGAATACAGAGATGGAGAAGATGTAAACTCAGAAGAGGTTGCACTGACTTGGCCTGCAGGCTAGATTCAGTTATCACTATATATATACATATATATATATATATATATATATGTATATATATATATATATATATAAAGGCTTGGTTCTGTTTAGTACTGTTGTTTTATTTTTTATAAGCTAATATTTAAAAACTGAGAGTTTTTGCATAAACAAGTATGGATTTCTTCCTTTTCTTGAAAAATATTGGAAGGTCTATCAGCATTAGACCCATATCCTCACTAGGGAGACTTTGATCAGAGTTGAGAAACCACTGCCCTCTGCAGTCAGGATATTCATTCTCCAGTTCCTCACACTCTTCACTACTCTCTTATTTTCAAGCTCTCAGTATCAAGGAAGGGCGTAAAAGGTAAATGCCATGGTTGGCGGGGAAGATGCTTCAGTAGGAATGAATACCTTATGGAGGAGAAAGCATATGAACTGAGTCTTGAAGGATAATCAAGATTGCAAGAGACAGAAGAAGTTCCAGGTGGAAGGAAAATTCTAAGACAGGGTCCTGGAGCTAAGAAGTATGGGCAATGCAGGTGTAGATGCAGAAAATGTAAATGAAGTCATTTTAGAGCAGAAAGTGTTGATGAGAATGTTTTTCTGCTATTTTTCTAGACTTGCTAATTGACAATTTGGATTCAGAAAGTACCTGTCATGAAAGGAATGAGAATTTGAGATGGGCAAAGAAGATAGTTGAAAATCTTATTTCACTAATGAAAAAGACAAATGTGACCATTTCTGCTACACACACACCCAGAATATATATATTTTTTCCGAATATCAAAAATCATACCAGTTTATTGTAGAAAACTTGGAAAATGCAATAAAGTTAAATATAAAAGTAAAAATCAGAGGTAATCTCTACTTCCAGTGAGATTAATTATTTGGATTATTTGGAGAAAATAGTATAAGTATTATTTCCACATAGATAAACATATGTGACATATTTATATATAGTATTATAGATTCTTACAAATATACACTCATATATATTTGAATATGTATGTATTATGTGTGTGTAGGTAGATAGACTGGTTATCTGCTCTTTTTACTGAACAATGACCATTTACCAATGCTATTAATTGTTTCATAATATACTTTTTAAATGGTTGTGTAATATTCTGCATATGGATATACTATAATTAATCTAATTAGATTTTAAATTTGTTGTCAGTTGAACTCTAATTTTTTATGGTGATAAATGTTTTGATGACATTTAATTATATCCGTGTAAATAAATATCTTCATAGATAAATCATTGTGGCATGCACACATTATTTCCTTATGATAAATTTCTCTAAGTTGAGTTGTTTGGTCACAGAGAAGCTGCCTTTTAAGAAGCCTATTCACTTATTAAAACAATCTCTGTAAAAACTCTGCAGATTACAATATTAGATCCAGAGATCCTTAGAATGCTAAAGCTGGATGGAATTTTGACATAATCAACCATAATGCTTGTATTTTACATATGAAAAAATTGAATCTGTGAATCAAAATGAGGTTCCTGCTTATGTAGTCAGAGAATAAATAAGGACAAGGAAGCACACTTCCAGGCAAAAACATGATGTTATACTGAATATACTGAATTATATATTGGTTCAATCTAAGTCAGGTTTAAAGTGATCCTGTATATTTTTCAAGTCATAAATTTATGGCCAAAGTGTTATCATAGCAAACCTATGAAGACAAATTGAGGTGGGAGAATTATTAGCTTGGAGGAGATTACGAGACCATGTAATGTAAATTAATATTTCCCAAAGCTTCTCTGAACATGAGAGTTCTCAGTGTTTTTCTACAAAGTTCACTGACTTTTGGGGAGTAAGATGGTTCGGCCCTAGGAGAGATTTTAACTCCTCTAATTCAGCACAAGGTGAAACCGCTTTGCAAACTCTGTGTTTTCTGTAATAGTTCAGTGCAGAGCAGAATGTGTTTACCTTCACTTTAATTTGCATTGACATCATCCTTACCATTTATCAACACAGTAAGTAAAGAATATTCAGAAAGACAGAATTGAATGCAGGGCATGAGGTAAGGGCATGTTCAATAAATTTACTGTCTTGTTTACTTGTATCTCGCCTTGTATTTTTAAGGCGACCCTTGTTCAATTTACATACATGGAAAAGGTAGGAGTTTTCCTTGAGGTCTGATGAATGGGACTCAAAATTATATATAAATAAGAGGCATTGGATTGGCAGTACATCCAAGTGGATTCCCCATCATATTATATTATATTTTTATATAGTATTTGTTGTATACTAGAAATGCTACAGAATGCTTTACGTGTATTATTTTATGTAATCATACCAGCTACACTGTGAGGTAGATAATATTATTTGTACTTCACAGTAAACCAAGGTTTAGAGGTTGTTAAATAATTTGCTCAAAAACACGGTTTGTCAGTGGTAGAGTTAGGCCTCCACTCATGTCTGATCAACTTCAAAGCCATCAACCAAATTTCTGTCATGCCAAATTTTCACTGCAATGCCTAACCCTAGAAATTTCAAGAGCTCTGCCAAAATATGAATAATTTATGAGCCAAACATGTGACTTCTAGAACTTCAGGTTAGATAGGCTACTTGTAGTAGACTGGGGAGTTACCAGGATGGGCTGGGATATAGAATTCAAAGATACACCGATGTTCTCTAGCTGGAAATGTGCAGATATAATGTTAACAGTTCAGGAAGATAGCTTGATAAAGGGTCAATAAGAAGTCATGGACATCCCTTGAGGGGGGTGGGAACCTGGGGACAGAGGTAGTACAGGCTATATTTGAAGTTCTGCTTGAACATGTGGACAGAGTCCATCTGCAGTTTACAGGATCCTACTCTTAACTAGGGTGGAAGTAAAGGCCCCAAGTGCTATACGATCCTAGCAAGTGAGACTAGATGAGAAGTTCTCAAATTTGAGCACACATCAGAATCACTTGAGGACCTGAGAAAATGCAGCATTTCTGATTCCAATAGATCTGAGGAGAGACTTGAGGATGTTGCTTTTCTAACAAGTTCCCAGGTGATGCTGCGGACTCTCTTGGGACCACACTCGAAAGCCACTGATCCACAGTTACAGCCAGGCCAACCTTGTAGCCCTAAGCAGAATGATTTCAGCTGTGGGAAATGCGATTTATGTAGGGAAGGTCAAGTCGCTCACTACAATGACAGGATTAATTCTCACTGAGATACTGAATTACAATTCACGATATCCTCACGTTGGCAACCTGCCCTAAATAACTAAACTTGCAGAGAGAGAATTCCCAGGCTTTTCTGTCCGATGAGCACCATATGTCTTCCCTCTGGGTGGATGACTGACTCTAGCACACCACAGAGGTTCAAAAATAAAACAAGATCGTTTCCAGTCCTTGACTATTATGGACCGTAACCCAAACCCAAACGGGCTCTTCTGTTGCTGGCCCTTGACAATCTTACTAAGAGTAAGCAGCCATTAGTGAGTTTATTACGCTTATCTCATTTAAATAATTGCATTGTCTCAGGTTTTAAGAAAACCTGTTTGTGTTTGTTGTTGTTGTTGTTCCAGGTATCATTTACCTTTGAGCTTTTTCTATTTTAGAGGCAGTTAAATAAGTATATTGCAAACTGATGTACATTCATTAAAGTATTGCTTTCAAAGTTTCAAATATAGTAAATCTCATGTTTTTAGTGTATCTCTTAAAAAAGAACATTGAATTTTATACTATGTCTGCAAGTTTTTCACCTTCTTATATGTTTCATTTTTAAAGTGAGAGCTTCTAGGTTTACTGCAGAGTATTAAATTCCATTTCTAAGGTATTTACAGAGGAGCAGCCCTTTTATAACTGAGTCTAGTTTTCAACCAGTAACAGATTTTTAGATTAGAAAACGATCTTAGAAATTAACTAGCTCAGGGGTTGGCAAACTCTTGCTCTAAAGGGTCAGATAATGAGTATTATAGCTTTTGTAAACCATAGTGTCTCTGTTATAACTACTAAACTCTGTTGTTTTAGTCTAAAACAGTCACAGACAATACATACATAAATGAATGTAGTTGTATTCCAATAAAAATTTATTTACAGAAACAGGTGTAATCCAGAGAGGCTCATGGGCTGACCTAATTCATTTCATTAATTAATCTGTGAGGAAACCAAGGCTTAATGAGAAAGGTGACTGGCCTAACTCACCCAGCAAGGAAATGGTCTGGTAAAGTCTCATACTCAGGTTTGAATCCCAGTCAAGTATCTGTACCACAATACCACCTGGTACAGTAGGGCCACCCCACATCCTTTCTCTGTGTCAGCTCGATTTGAACGTCAAAGAGTTTATACCCAACCACTCCTACTGCAAACACAGTGTGAGTCCAGGAATTCCCAGTGTGATCTTTGTGCTTTTCTAGTTAACTAATTACAAAATATCTCATCTCAAATGACCTTCAAGAGGTTTATGTGCTTGTGAGGGAGTAAAGGAAATAGACATCTAGAGGTTGATTTTTCCATGTTCAGTAGTTTGGTGGGCTACATCATAACACCATTCTAAAGAGGCTCCAGTTTGAAAAGTCTATTCTTGAAAGGATTCAGAGAAAGGCAAGGTCACAGATGGCATAGCATAGGCCACCCAACTGAGCATTTTTCAGATATGTTCTGTGGTCACACAGGGTTCTAGGAGACAAGTGCAGATGATCCATAGCAAGGTGATCTCCTAGAAGGAGAAATACTCACAGTTCATGTGCTCAAGGTAAGAAACAGTTCATCTTTTTCATGAAGGACACTTTTTTCATTGTTTATTTTATATTTAATTTAATTTAATTAATTTACTTATTTTTTGAGTTGGAGTCTCACTCTGTCACTCAGACTGGAGTGCAGTGGCTGCTCCCGGCCACCACAGTCTGGACCTGTTGGGCTCCAGCGATCCTTCTGCCTCAGCCTTCCAAGTAGCTGGAACTACTACAGGCGCGTGGTTACCATGCCCAGCTAATTTTTGATTTATTGTAGAGATGAGGTCTCACCAAGTTCCCTGGGAGGGTCTCGAACCCGCGGGCTCAGGCAAGTCATTCACCTCAGCCTCCCAAAGCGCAGGATTACAAGCTTAGCCACTGAGTCCGGCTATATTTTTCTATTCTATTCTATTTTAGTTGGAGTCTCACTCTGTTGCCCAGACTGGAGTGCAGTGGCTGCTCTCGGCCACCACAGCTTCGACCTGCTGGGCTCCGGCGATCCTTCCGCCTCAGCCTTCCAGGGAGCTGGAACTACAGGCATCTGCTACCACACCTGGTTAACGTTTGATTTATTGTAGAGATGAGGTCTCGCCAAGTTGCCCAGGTGGGTCTCGAACCCGTGGGCTCAGGCAATCTACTCACTTCGGCCTCCCAAAGTGCTGGGATTATAGGCTGAGCCACTGAGCCTGGCTTCATTGTTGATTTTAAAACAAAAATTATCAACCGAAACTTTTTGCATCTTGTGAACACTACCTTTCTAGAAAATCTGAAAACCAGTGAAAGGTCTTGTATATCTTTTAACAGTATCTTGAATAAATTTAGTCATCTTTGTTCTATTTTATATACAGGGCTATTTGGTACATCATTATGTATTACCTTGTTATTTTATCTTGAGTTTTAGCCTTTCCTGTTATGCCAAACATGCTGTTTATTCCCTGAATCTGTTACAAGGCAGATTGTCCATATCTTTCAGTTGGATAGAAGAGTGTTCCTGTCTTTTGAGGTCTAGATTCATAAGACTCTTGAGACAAAGCATTTGAAAGTTGGGAATGGTTTTGTTGGCATTACAACTCAAGGACTCATTCTATCTTCTTACAAATATATTTTTGAGTTCTTGGCTTTAAGAAGGACAGAGACTTGGGTCGTGTGTGTGTGTGTGTGTGTGTGTGTGTGTGTGTGTGTGTGTTTTGGGGGAGGAGCTTGTTATAGGGATGCGTGTGGTCTGAAGCACACCTGGAGATATTAGGATCTGGGCAGTGCTAGGGACCTGCCAGTCTCTTAGTCTCTTTTTTCATGGTTTTCTTGCGTCTCTCATTTCATATTTGTTACTCTCTTATTACCAATTAGACGACTCCTCTGAATTTTCTTCCCCTAATTGACTAGGAGCCAGTTTTGTTGACTTTACTAATTAGCATTAACTTCATTGATAGAACTGTCCTGCTAGGATACCTAATGTGTCACCAGAAAGCCTTTAGATGAGCTATCCTAGTATAGATGGCCACTTCCATCTTATTGAGGGCCCCTCTGCACAAAGAATAGCCTGGTGCTACTGCCCTGAGTGTGGCAGTTTCATCCAGGACATGGAGACTGGACATTGAATTGAATAACTTCTTAAACTTTGGTTGTATTTTCTATATTTATGTTGTTGCAAAGTTAATCCATATTTTTGTTGAACAATTTTAAATACACAAAACTTTAAAAAGAAAAGAAAAACCATAGTCCATCACCCACATATAAACTATTAATATTTTACTGACTCCTTTCTAGTCTTTTCTTTATGTGTGGTTTCATATAGAGTTGATTAAAAATAATGAATGTATAATTTTATACATATTTTTAACATTAGAGCATAGTGTTTATTCATGTATATAAATATTCTTCCAAAATGATTGTCATTAGCTGCAACATATATCATAGTAGAGATATATTGTATTTACTTAACTAATGTTGGGCACCTAGATGGCTTCATCATTGCGCGTTAAAATTTATCAGCATTTCAGTTTGTTTTGTTAAGACAAATTTCTAGAAGTAGATTTACAGGGTGAAAGAAAATGAGATTTTTATTTATTTTATCTTATTTTATTTTATTTTGGAGTTGGAGTCTCATTCTGTCCCCAGGCTGGAGGGCAGTGGCACGCTCCTGGCCACTGCAGCCTCAACCTGCTGGGCTCAGGCGATTCTTCCACCTCTTCCTTCCATGTAGCCAGAACTACAGGTGTGTGCTACCATGGCCAGCTAATTTTTTGATTTATTGTAGAGACAAAGTCTCACCAAGTTGCCTGGGTGGGTCTCGAACCCACGGGCTCAGGCAATCCTCTCTTCTTGACCTCCCAAAGTGCTGGGATTACAGGCTGAGCCCCGAGCCCAGCCAGCGATTTTTAAAACTTTTAATATGTATCATCAAATTGTTTTTATGACAGGTTGCTACAGTTTTTACTTTTGCCAGTAGTGTATAAGACAGCCTGTCTTGCTATACTTTCACAGCACTGGATGACAGCTTTTAAAATGAATCTTATTGTGTTAAAAAGAGTGCTTTCTTGATATTTTATTTTTCTCTGTTTACTTATATTGATTTTTCTGCTATTGTGGCTGAAGGAAAGTAGTTGAGAGCCTAGTCATGCCTATGCAGAACTACTTGCCTTTCAATTTCCATCATGTGAGATGCTAATCCAACGAACATTATGTCTTTTCTAGCCTTCATACACTGAATTTGACATCAGTGGCAACGTCCTCGCTCTGATCTTCAACCAAGGCATGATCTGGTAGGTCAGCTGTTGGATGGTTTATCACTTATAGAAAAGCCTCCAAGGTCATTTACTGCAATAAGCACTATAGGCTGGTGTCAGAGGAGACCTCAGTCTGTGTGTCTCTCAATATTTGCCTTTGTAAAGTGTGTGGCTCTGAATAGTTTGCATACTATTTTTTTCACATCTTGAATCTTGGTCCTCAAAGGTGTCTTTCTGTCTTGCAGATCACTCCTTTATCAAATGATGGAAGTCTATGTTCTGGTTGGTAGATTTATTTGAAGACTACTTATATATTTATATCCCATAGCATCAATATCTAATAGTGAAACAATATTAAATCACCACATGTTAAGTAAAAATCCATTAATGTAAGGTCTTTCTGAGAAACTGAGTTTATTTTGTCATCTTTACTAAATATAATTAAAATATAGCATAGCTATTTTAAAAAATAATACCTTATCAAATCCAATAGTTTATAGAGATAAAACACATGTTTTAGGAAGGTCAAGTTAAAAATATGATCTTCATTTTGTAACTTGTTTCAAGGGGCCATTGCACATCAGAATTATTTCTTTTGATGTGCAAAGGATTGTCATATCCTTTATTAAATAAAAGCATTTTCACTGTAAACTCTGACAGGTTAAGATGAGTTGATACAGTATAAATCATGTTTGAGTTTAAAAATTGAATTATAGCATGTGGATTCATCTAGAGACCATGTGCCTTGGAAATCTGTCACCCTTAACTAGGAACACCCCAACCCACAAGCAGTTACAACTGAGCTACTTTAGACATATTCCTGATACCAACCATGCCAATGTCCTATTCACAAGTGCCAGTAAAGCCTCAGTTTTTGAACAAGTTTCATCTATTACCCAAATCCTTAACTGCAACTGGCCTGGATTATTAAATCTTTGCATGCTGACAGAGACTGGACCCCTCTGCAATTTTTTTTTTTAATTTTTATTGTAAAGATGTGGGGTACAATTCAGGGTTAGGTATACAAACATTGATTATGCAGCTACCCCTATTAATGAGGTATGCCCCTTTCTCCCCTATCCGTTTCCCTCAACTGCCAATCCCCCGCTCCCGACAGTTTCCCATTACTGCCAATCTCTGCAAATGTTAAAATCATCTTGATCCAATACCATAAAGACCACCTGCTAAGGCTCCATCATCCTTCCGTGGGGCCTGTCAAATTCCTGTGCCTGACTAGATTAATCACTATGAAAAAAATACTATAAAGTATTTTCTCAGTTGTCAGGTAGGTTTAAAAATGTAACTCCTGTCCTCTTCCTTTCTTAATTTTGCAATTATGACTCATACGTCCACAGTCATTAAGGAGAGAAATAAATCCTTTATTCTTCAAGCAGGGAGGAAAGTCAAGGTGACCCAAGGAGTGACTACTAAAAAGATAGTAAGGGAACAATTTCTGAGGGTTCTGATCTTTCATTTCCTGGAGAGGAATCTTCTGTGATGGCAGAAAATGGCTTTTGGGGGTATTGAGAAACCACTGACTTATATCAGTGGCTTTTACACAAAGAATCATAAATCCCCCAGGTCTGGTGACTGCCATTTGTGCAGACATGCTGTGTGTCTATTGTGTTCTTTCAGAGTTAAAAATACAGATTGGCCTAGAAATTTATTTTTATTGTCAGAAAGGCTGTTATAATTGCTGTCCTGATTGGTTTTACTTGTGATTTGACAACTATTTTAGTCCACTATTGCTCGTATCAAACTTCTTAAATATCTAAAAATCTTTTCCAGTTTTCTCCTGGCCTGACCCATTATCAAAACCTCTGCCTTGTCACTGCACTATCACTTTCTATGTATTTATTCTTCAGACAGTAGTCAAGCTTGTTTCTGGTTAGTGCGAAGAGAACTTTAGAAAGTTATTGTGTTTTCCAAGCATACAAAGATATTCACACATTTTCCAGAGTTCCAGAAGCAAAATAACTGTTATTCTATTATTCACTTTCAGGTCAACACTGCACAAATTCTGTCTAGGAACTCCCAGGAGGTTGGGAAGGGAATGGGAACATGGGTGTGGAGAGGTGTGGGTTGGGATAGTGAGCTCACTCTGCATGAGGGTCCTCACACATGGTAGTTCCATTATTTTATGAGGCATGAGGAGTTTAACCATTTTCTACAGAAACAGTCAAGATGGCACAGGGGTTTTGTATTCAATTTCATTGGTTTGTGACTGGAGATATTCAATTACTGTTTTAGGATTTGCTCAGTAGTGGAGGTTATTTGCACAAAAATTAAAGTCATCATTCGTGGGTAAAATCATTTTGTTATGATTTGACTGAATGATCAGTACATTTTTTATATTCTTATTTTTGAAATAAAGATGATAGGTTTCTGTAATAATATTCGTAAATGATGAAAGCACATAATATTTTTTATCATAGCAGGATGAAAGCACAAAATATCTTTATCATAGAGGTTTGTAGAGAGGCATCAGGGAATACACACACACACAGATGAGTTTTGGACATTGCTCCAACACTGTTTCATTGGGCTACCTCCAGCTAGACTGATCACCTTTCTCTCTCATTTTCTCAGTTGATCAGATGTGTATAATTTACCTGACATCTACATGCCACTGGAGCAATAAGGAGAATTCAATAAAAGAAGCTTTCATTTGCTTTGATCTTCTTGAAAGAAAAACATTTTATAAGGCTAAAGAATTACAATGATTTTTAACCAACAGATGATGGGGTCAAGTCTGGGTGTAAGGAACTTAGTGAGCTGAGCTGATTAGTGATTCATAAGCAAAGATAGAATCAACATTAAGTTTCAGAGATCATTGTGCTAGGATGTATTTTTCTAGGTTATGGCTCTTAAATTGCTCAAAATATCTATGTTATTTTTATTTTGAAAGTTAAAATTTATCTATAGATGCATGCACAAATGTGTGTATACATAAATATGCATACAAACTGCACGTGCGCATACACACACACACACACACATACACACATATATATGTGGATTTAGGCAAGTCTAGTTATAAAGTATATGAAAAATTAATTTTTAGAATTGATTAGGTTATGCAGCAGTAAAACACAAACTCAAAGTCTTAGCAGCTTACAAAAAGGACATGTCCACTGTGAGTTAAAGGAGAACTGTGCTCTAGAACTTGCTGGTCACAGTGGCAGAGAGAGAAGAGAACAAAATATTACACAAGGCTTTTAAAATTTCTACTCAGCAGTGACACATCTCATTTCTATTCATAATATATTAGTCAAAACAAGTGACATGGCCACTTGACTTTTAGAAGGAGGTGAGAATAATGCTTCCCATGTGTATTACACCACAGATATTGGTATTTGGGGACATAATCCAGTGCTTTGTGATTCTGACCCACCATCTGGGACTAACTCACTTGCTCACTTTTTTGAAGTTCTCTCTTGCTGTCCTATAACAAAGGTAAACTGTATTGTTTTAAAATATGTCCTTCCATTAGAAAAAAAATAGCTTAATTTACTATCAAGTCTTTCATCAATTCACTATGGTAAAATATCATTCAGATGTGCTGTCTGGAATACTATGAACAACCTACATTGCAGCAAGATACCACTCTTCATAGGAATGACTTAACTTTGGGCTGGCAGAAAGTCAATTTTAGAAGCAGCTAATTTCTTCATCTAAATAAAAGCAGTCTATAATATACAAAGTTTACATTGAATTGGTAAACAACTACTTTACATATCCAGGGAGTATAAAATACTGAACTTAGCTAGATATGCTAAGCACTTTGTTATAGTTGGGACAGTTTAAAAGATAGAGCTTTACTTCTATTTATACAATGAGTACATACATATCTTCTTCTTGGTTTTGGACTAATACATTGCTATTCATATGTCTTTATGGTGCTAAAGAATTTTCTCATCCAAGAAAATTGAAAATTATTTAGTTGAAATAATCAATTAATCCATCAAGTAAAAGTGTCCTCACCTACGTGGTTCCCGGTTTAAAGTAATATTTTTAAATACCTTAAAAATGTCAGATACACAAAGCAGAGGGCTCCCAGGACAAACTAAAGTAAGAAAATAATCAGATAAAGTACAATTTAAAAGATGTGTGAAGACCCTGTAAGTTAGCTACAAATTGCCAACAAAACATGGTATATCATTGGGTATAAATTCATCTTTGCAATCATTCTAAAATTCTATAGCTGATACAAAAATAGTCAGCCAAAGAAAATTTATTTAAAGTGTTTTTATTAAGCAAAATTATAACAAAAGTGAATAATCCAAATGCGTAGTTTATTTGAATAGAATGAGCAATTTTTAAGGGTCAATTAGTTTTCAAAAAGTTATACGTACATTAATCAATGATTTAACTGTTATGGGATATGAAGTCTATTTTCAAATTGGTAGAAAGAAGTAATGCAATTGTCATATGCTGTTTACTCTTTTGTAGTTTAAATTTACTAATGACCATAGTTATAGCTAGTTTATAACACCTTTTTAATGAAAGAGCTATGTCTGCAATATCTACAATAATGGGGGAAATGATAAAATGTGTGTAGAAGATAGAAATGATTAATTAGATTCGTTTATAAAAGGAGTGGTGGGGTTGAAAGTGACAATATATTTTCTGCCTTTGTGAAAGAAGCATAAGGAAAAATAAATAGGTGTGGTGTGACTTTGTTATGGAATAAAGACCTGAAACTGAACAGAGCTCTGTTTTCTTTCTAGGATGGGCTCCTTCTTTGCTCCCAGTCTCCCAGGCATCAACATCCTTCGACTCCACACATCCATGTACTTCCAGTGCTGGGCTGTGATGTGCTGCAACGTTCCTGAGGCCAGGGTCTTCAAAGCTTCCAGATCAAATAATTTCTACCTGGGCATGCTGTTGCTCATCCTCTTTCTGTCCACCATGCCTGTCTTGTACATGATCGTATCCCTCCCGCCATCTTTTGACTGTGGCCCTTTCAGGTCTCTTGTCTTTGAAATCTGACTTAGCCGTAGTGTTTTTTTTTCAGGGATGAAGATGGGAATGGGCATTCATTGTATAAGCTTTTTTTTTTTTTTTTTTCAAACAATGGCATTTTTGGTTGGTGAAAATGACATCCTTTGGGTATTCAGGCTCATTGTGTGAAGTGGAGAGTCTTAGGCAAGTTCCATCTATTTTCTCATTTGGGAATCATAAAAGGGAAAATAATTTATGCTGCTGCAGGCTCTGCCTGAGTAAAATATGGATGATGAATCTGAGCTGTTTCTTTATTAGGGGATAGCTTAGAGCAAGGTCTGATGATACTAGTCTGGATGTGAGAGTTTTCCTCATGCTGGTTATCACTTCCATAGTCACCTATTGCTACTTCTCATGTGGACCACTGCCTTAAAAAAAAAAAGCCTCACACTTTACCCAGGAAATAGACTCATTATTAAATAATAAATAAAATGCTACTTGCTAGTAAAATAATTAAGAATGTTTCCCATCAAGTGAGTAATCATGAGTGAAGAAGGCTCTTGACAAAGTTCTCTCCATAACACACATCAGAAAACAAAGTCCCTAGGATCTGGAGGATGGGATTTTATTCCGTATAGGGCCTTAGAAACAAATCTAACACATACCCAACCCCAAAGAATTTCTGCATGTTGAGTTACTGACCTGCATGCATTTGATCTATTTCTCTTTCTTAGTGAAGGAAACAAGACTGTGAAAAGCCATGTGAATGACAAGCGTGATGCTATAATGACCACATATAATTACTCCTTCATGCTGTCAGATCAAGTTATTTAATTAAAGTCAAAATATTTGTTGCATACAGACTAAGCATAAAAGAGGCATTTTCAGTCTCATAATAGTCTGAGTTACTGCTTTACCAGAAAAGAAAGAAAATATTAACCCAGTTGATAGAGAAAAACTAGCTGGAGTTCTGTTATACTCAGGAAACTGATGTTGACTTTGTTCATTTCGATGCGTGTGTGTGTGTGTGTGTGTGTGTGTGTGTGTGGATGTGTGTGTGTGTGTGTGTTTCCAAGTGCGCTGAAATAAATAATGGAGACAGTGACATCTGGAGACTAAATATGAAATTACAGTCTTAAAGGAGACATTTGTCTGAATAAATCCTTAATCTCAGAGTGTGAAGTTCAGAAGATATGCCATTCAAAAACTTTAGTTAATTATAAATTACCTGCACAACTTAATATTCAGGATAAATTTCAAGTGGGCATTTAACCTTTTAATTGGAAGTTGATCCTTCTCAGTAAAACATGGCAAAGGACCTTAGCCATCTACCAGGGAAGCCATACAATGTAAATATAGAGCTGGGAGGTGGTTACACAGATACATTCAGATTGACAATACCATTGAGTTAGACAAATGAAATGGTTGCAAATTTTAGCTTTTTAAACCCTAGCTCCTCTGGCTTTCTTTATTTCATACACTGATTTACTGATTTTTACTAAAAAAAAAAAATAGGTTGGATCTAAGTCATAGTATCTAACTTTGAACAATAATTTTCTAATTGGCAAAATTACTGTGTATATATATCACTATTTTGAAATCAAGAAAATTTAAATATCATCAGAGGAGTGCTGAGAAAAGCATATCTCTGTGCTATTTAGAGAGTTGATTTTCCTGCCAGTTTCTTCATTTTGGAGCAAAAGAATGTGTACATATTTTCTGGACTTAAAGGTTAAAATGAATGATTCTGCTCTAGAAATGAGGTGAGTTCCTCTCCTTGGGAATTCTGAGTTTGAGGTAGTTTGCCTAACCTGCCTGGTGAAGGTTGTTTGACCCTATCTGGCTTCTGGATGAGCAGATATAAATTTGAAGTATGTTAATAGTGACATCAGGGTGAGGGCCAGTTACTCTCCAGTGCAGGGATGTTTTCAGGTAAGATGACTACAGCACATTTAATCATGCAGCAAAGTATTGATGAAATAGACTAGCTTACTCTGGTTTTATAAGGCCTGGCTACAGGGGTGATTTTTTTAAAGACACTATTCCAATAGCCTGTTAGTGGATTTATCTTAAATAGTCGGACAATTTTAAAACTATTTCTTTGATGTCTAGATGAGGACAATTCTACTTCTTCCATCGCATTTCCTGATTATTGATATTTTTCTCCATCTGTGCCAATAATTCTGAATACTTTGTAGCTCTCTAGATTCTTACATACCTCTATGTTTACATTACAGCAGTTTTATTTTTTATGTATTTTCATCTCACTGCAAAGTTTTGTTCTAGAATACCTGGAAATTGTGGAAATATTTTTACATGAAAACAAACACTGCCCAAAGACCTAAAATAACAACTCTCAACATTTTGACATTTTATATTCTGGTTTTTCTTTTATGCATTTTTAATGACTGATATCATATACTAAGTGCAGGCTTTTATTGTTTTAAAAGTTAGCATTGGTCGGATGTGGTGGCTCACACCTATACTCCCAGAACTTTGGAAAGCTAAGGTGAGAGGATTGCTGGAGTCCAAGAGTTCAAGACCAGCCTGGGCAACATACTAAGACCTCATCTCTACAAAAAAGAGCAAAAACAAAATAATTAGCCAAGTGTGGTGGCACTTGCCTGTAGTCCCAGCTACTTGGGAGACTGAGGTGGAAGGATCGCCTGAACCCAGGACGTTGAGACTGTGGGAGCTATAATTGTACCACTGTACTTCAGTATGGGCAACAGAGTGAAACCCTGACTCAAAAAATTAAAAAAACTCAAACAAACCACCCAAACAAACAAATAAAAATCCAGCATTATATTGTGACACTGCTATCATATTACTTATTTGCAATTATACTCTACGTGACTGTATTTCTTGGTAGTTTAGCTGACTTCTAGACATTGGGAACAGAGCATCCTTTTCATCTGTTTGAGTCCAGGATGCAGTAGTGTGCTGGACAATAATCTGAAAAAATGAATGAATGATGATTGCTTATTGTACACTAAGCACGAGAGAAGATGTCAGGGAAAATCCATGCACTAAGCACTGATTCTGGTCCTGTGGAGTTTATAGCTTACCTGGGAAGACAGGCCTCCTCAAAAACTGCTCTAATCTAGAGTGGTTGGAGCTATGGCTGCAGCAGAGCTATTGGCTAAGTGGAGTAGCATATCACTTGAATGTGTAGTCATAGACAACCGGAAAGGACTTCTGGGAATATTGTGAACTAGCATACTTTGCCTAACCTGTCAGAAGAAGAGATTGCCAGGAATTTTTAGATGTTTCTATAATTTGTGGGTAATTAAGTGATCTGGACTCCTTTCTTTGGTAACAAACCTGACCTGAAAAAGGTACCCAAGAATCCTCAGGGACTCCAGCAACTTTGCATTGGGTCATACTGGATACTGAGAGGGCCTTTGTGGGTAGGGATAATTATGCAAAATTCTAATCTCCCCACTCTGACCACATTCATCAACCGTTATCTGAGGTGCTGAAGAAGGGAGGATAGGTTGTTTTATTATTTCTGGTCCTTTTTGCTTAGCCTCTTACCCTGTATTCCATATGGCTAGGGATGGAGGTATGGACATTTGGGATGAGACTATGGAAAAGAAACCTTATTGGAATAAGTTGATATGATCTTAGATTGTCTGTAAGCTCCATTCCCCCTCACATATCATAGGTCTTGAAAATTAGTGTGTAGATCTGTAATTTGTGAAACAAAACCTGTAGCTCTGTTGGTCAACAACTTCTGACAAAATACTTGGAGTCGTTCTTTGTCTGTTGAAAGATAGTATTAGTTAGATCAGGAGAAAAAAAATATGATTTGGACCTATGGGTCACCTTTATTAGTCACTGAAAATGTTTAGAGATTAAAAAACAAAAGCAAACATTATATTAAATGTTACACCAACCTTTATTCTGATGAAGTGTGCAATTTGGTGAGACCCAACTGAAAACCTTTTCTAAAAATTACACCTCTTTGTAATATAATTAATGTGTATATATAGAAAGTCATTAACTTTCTATATAATGGCATAATGCATATTATGGTGCAATTCTGGATATTTTATAGTAACAAGATATCCAGCTCTCATTTTTCTAGTTTATATGAACTAGTTCTCACTTTCATGGATCTTAGCAGCAGACTAAGCTTGCTGGTATTCATTAGGGCCTGCCCGGGAGAAGAAACAGTGAGAGGGAAAGAACTCATCATTCGCTGTGGTTACCTATTAACATCTCTGATGAAGGAGGTCTCGTGGAAAATGAGATGGAAGCAATAGCATGGAAAGAGACCGTGGATTATATTCCACTACACTATTCCTTGTGCTCATTTCCAGGGCTAATAAAATTTGAATGTACTGTTACCCGGCCCAAGGAAAGTGTTCTCCCACAAGAATAGCTGACTGAGAGGTAGACTTATGAGCTATTTACAAATATATTTCAATCAAAATCTTAGAAATACAGTTTTAAAAATCTCCTGAAGCTGTGGTTAACTTCCTAGCTGCTTTGACTGTGTGTTTATGTTGGGGTCACATCTCTCTTATCTTACTCATATGACGACAATATGAGGTCAAAGTGTCAGGAGTTGCAGCTGAACATCGGATTCCTAAAAAAAGTAACTAGGTTGACAATATGTGAGAAAGATTTCTAGTTTTTTTGCTGTAACTATGGTTTTTCCATATGTTCTTAGTAAACTTCTCTCTTTTTTCCTCCCAGTGGCAAAAATAGAATGTTCGAAGTCATTGGAGAGACATTGGAACATGATTTCCCAAGCTGGATGGCAAAGATCTTGAGACAACTTTCTAACCCTGGACTGGTCATTGCTGTCATTTTGGTGATGGTGTACGTGCTTTCCCTCCTTGTAGAAAGAACTTTTGCAATGTTCTTTCTGGTTTCATTTAAGCTTCAGCTTTTTCATCTCTCTCACTCTCCCTAAGGGTTGTTCTGTAACCTGCCCAAATTCAACACTGATTACACGGTGGTGAGAGGCTGAAATTCATGAGCCATATTCTGATCCTATTGGATGTAATTCACAACCATCTGCATCTGTCTTTGCCTCCCCAGGATTATAAGATTTGTTCCCAAGTAACCAAAATAATTATCTGTAAACAGCTAAAGCAAGGGAAACATAAATGCTAAATCTAATCAGCACATTGGGCTTCTCCCCACAACCCGGCCCCCACCTCTTGTTCCATAAAGCAGATGGCTGTGAATATACAGAAATAATGAGGCTCTAAGTTAATATTCCCCTTGAGGGCCCTATAGACTGTATTTTAGGGCTAAGGGTTTAAAGGGTCTTAAAAGTTGCCCTGTCCTTGTTGTTAGAGGGCTGTCAATAACTGTGTGTCCATAATAATCAAATCAGAGGACTGGGCGGGTGGGGGGAGGGTCTTGGGAAGTTCTCTTAGTCTGTCGCTTCGAAGTCAGAAGTGATTTCCAAAGGGGGAACTTGACAGGAGACTTGTTCCCATATAACTTTCACTGGCTTCTCACTTTTAGCCATCACAGATAAACTACATTTTAAGTAAAAACATAGACTTGCCGTGGAAGAGTCAAGAACAGCGCCCTAGCGGTTCCTTTCAACCTTAGTGCCTACAAGGGAAGTCTGAAACTGCCCCTACTCTCAAGCAACAAGGGCAAGGATTAGACAACCCCAGGGACACTCCGGGAGCGGCCACTGCACTCCAGTCTGGGTGACCGAGTGAGACTCCAACTAAAAAAAAAACCAAAAAAACCAAAAACAAAACAAAAAGCAGTAAAACAGATTACCATTATATATTACAGAACCTTGATCATGGACTGGGATTAAGAATCTGATAGTAAATCTCTGGCACAGATGCGTTACAAAATGACCTGCTGAATGCAATATGTTTCACCAGATGACCTCTGAAGTGATTTTTCTTTCTCCACATTTTCATGAAATCGTAGCTTCTGAGAGCATGCTTATCAGTTCCTGTAGCCTTTGAAAATCGAGGCACTTTGGTGATATAAAGGAGAGCTTGTTTAAAAACACACACACACAATGCAAATGTCCGATTTTGTTACTATATCCTTATTTGAGAGACATTTGTTTTTAAGCAAAGAAGCAACCAACATTGCTTGGTTGCCATTATCAAATGATATAATAGACTATCTCAAGAGGGTGGAAAAGGAAATAACACAGCCTTTGTTCCAGGCACTATCCATATACTGACTCATTTAATTTCCACAACAACCTTAAGAAGTTGACTTCATTAATTATATTATCAATAGCACATTGGAGTTCTTCCCTAAATCAAGCAGCTAATAAATGGAATTCAGACCCATGTCTTATTCACATTTCTTATTCCCTCCACCCATTTGCAGCACCAAACAGGGTTCAGAATCACTGGGAATGTCAGAAGGGCTGGAAGTCACTTGTCAGGGATGGTCTAGACCCAGGGTAGGTACACTTTTTTTAGACAGCCAGATAATAGACATTTAGGCCAAGAGGCAAAACTGAGGATCTTATGTAAGTACCACTGTAACCACTGAAAGATGAGAAAAAATTCTTAGTTCATAAGCCAAAAAAATCAGTCTGGGAGCCAGATTTCACCTGGAAGTTGTACTTTGCCAATCCTTGAGCCTAGCGAAAAAGCTGGCAGCATGGAAGGGTCATCTAGATGTCTTGAAAAGTTGGTTGTAGCTCTGAGGCTCTAATTTAAAATCCAAATTTCAGTTTATTACTGATTTTATTTTTTCAAATCCTGAGATTTTGTCTTCTATTTTATGGGTCCAATACAATTGACTTGGCATTTTATTACTTTTAATTAGAGAATGTTATAAGCACTTTGAATTTCCTCAATGGATCATGTTAAATCAGCTTGGATGGTTTTCCGATATCTGAATAGAGTTCAGGTTAGTTCTCTGCAGGCAGTTTTATTCCTTTGGAAACTAGAAAATGATTTGCGAGGAATACTCACTTAAGGTGCATTACAAGGCAGAAAAATGTGATGGATAAATGGAGAATTCTGGAACTGAAAATGACTTGTGGGATCTTTGAGTTTATCTTCCAAATCTAGAAACTTTTCTAAGAAAATCCTTATAACACACACACGCATGCACAATATTGAGCACTTATTTCATAGCCAGTTATTGTCCAGGATATTTTCATGTGCATAATTTCAATCGAACTCCTGTCACTCCTATAGAAGATAAACAAATTCAGCGAAACCATATCAATAATTGTGTTGCTAGCACCAGATGGCTCATGAAGGATATTGTCTGGCATGTTGGAGAGGGAGGAAATGTGTTCAATATCCAGTTATTTGCAACAAAGAGTAATACCAGTTACCTTTTTTTTTACTGTTTGTTTTTCTTTATTTGTTTGTTTCTTTTGACTTAAGTGAACATGGGCATATTTATTTTTGCAGAATTGTCTGGTTAGAATTTGCTCTTTCTAGAATGTAAATGTCATTTTAAATCCAAGAATACTCCTTTATAAAACGTTTTCTTTTTGAGGGAGGGAGAAATGCAAACAATATATCCTATGGAAAAAAAAACCCATGTTCATTAAGTATGCCTGTGGGGATTATATTCTTAGCTATAAAGGCCAAAGGACAGAATTGAAGTCAGAAAGTCATTTTCTTTTAATTCAATGTGTTCCCTAAGCTTCAGTAGATTTCCCATTTTCTTGGATGTCATTGCCATCAAGTTAAAATGTTACTTTCAATTATGATTGTGCTGATGTCAATATACTTCTAAGAAGAAGCTAACATTAGATGGTATGAAATGACGGGCAGAATAGAGGACAATGGATCAGGAGCCTTGGGGTTCAACTTTCCAACATCAACCCTTGTGTCATTCAGAGTATGGCTCTTTACCTCCCTAGACTTCAGTTTATCTGTAAAATATATAGAGTAGAAAATATCTTAATCTCCATTTCCATGCTAACATTTCACCATTTCATTAATATAAATGTAAGAAGAACCTTGAGGAACTGAAAAATACCATAAATTATTTGTTTGTTTGTTTGTTTTTAATTAAGTTTGACCATCTATTATCTCAATGCTACTGCCAAGGGCCAGAAGGCAGCGAATCTGGATCTAAAGAAGAAGATGAAAATGGTAGGATACAATTTATTTCTTAGAAATATTGTCTTTATTAACATTTAGTAGAAAACATGAGGAAATCTAATGGTCTTCTTCTCTCTTCTTTTTGTGCAGCAAGCTTTGGAGAACAAAATGCGAAACAAGAAAATGGCAGCGGCACGAGCAGGTTGGAGATATGTTTATGTTTATAATTTTTATTTTTCTACAAACAGTTTGCTCTTCCTTTTTGCTTTTTCTCCAAATGGGATATTGGATGGCTAGGGGCATTACAGCCCTAAGCAAGTCATTCCAATTCTTATCATCCACTTTTTTCACTCTTTTCAGGCATCAGTCATGTCTGAGGGCTTTAGTTGTTTTTCAGAGGGAGGAAAAAAAAGAAAGGAAAATTCAGGAATGTAAACTTAGCAACAGTGATTTAAAAAGTGACCTTGGAAATTGACAGAGATGGAGAAAAACACCCATACAGTGATATGTAAATAGCAGATATAAATTCAGGCTCTATCCTGCCCATTTTTACTATTTTTGGACATGGAATGATACACCGAAAAGATCCCAAGGGGTCCTCTGAGCTCACCACCATTGATTGCCAGAAGCCTTTTCTAATCCATTAACCTTTCTTATTGTTTTAAACCTCCTTAATTTTTAAACTATTAGAATAAAGCCAACTCTTATTTGCCAAAATTAATAACATGCTTTGAGTTTTTCATGGAATAGTGGTATTCAAGTATTTTAGTGAAAATCTTTTCCAGCTTTTCCCTATTCCTAACTCTAAAACTTTTTATATGAATGGGACTTCCACCCCACTGTAAGTAATAAAAAACTTAAATTAATCAAAAAAGAGAAATGTATCAGACTACACACACGGGTGCAAGAGAGTGGTATGTACGGCTTCAAGTCCCTTTTTGTCCTAAGTTTAAAACATGGTCAAACCTGAGCCCATTTCTGTGTAAATCCTCAAGACAAACCTCTTTTCATGTTGGCTGACTTTTTTGGAAACAGCAACTTCCAGTGTCATGTCCTTAGATTGTGATGTTCAGAGGAAGAGAGACTGTGATTTGAAATAGTTTCCTTGGAAGAGCAAGGGAACTTTTTTCCTGGAAATTTCCCAGTGTCTCTCTCTTTCAGATTGGCCCCAAATAGGTCATGTTTTCATCCCTGAACCCGTCACTATGTATGGGTATGATAAAGTAAGATAGAGTACAGTGAGTTGCTAAGGCCAGTCAGGACTCTCCTCGAAGCTGGGATCGATCAGTTTTCCTGAACCACATGACAGGCACTGGGGAGGGCAAGTCTACTAAGAGAAGGGGAAAGAATGCTGGGGGACCCAAACAACAAATGCTTAAGACATTTTTTTGCCTTCTGTGAGCTTAGCCTTTTTGTTTTTTTCCCTTTTCTATCTATTATAGCATGTTGTATAAGGTTAATTGCTGGGTGTTCAATTAAATGATGATAGTGATTTACAATTATCAGAGTAGTCTTTTATTTTTTTTATCAACACTACACGTGCACATAGTTTAGAGTTACATAATTCTACAAAGTTTATTATGAAAAACAGTATCACCTTCCCTCTCCTATACCACTTTGCTCTCTTCTGCTTCTCCATACTCAACTACCCCCACACACTTTCGACACTTTCAGTTGATTCTTTAGGTATCTATCTCCAAATTGCATATTTTTGCTGTAATTTCTTGACTTTTTAGTTTTAAGTTTTGTCTGTTAAAATTGTTGACTACCGCTTGGCTCGGTGGCTCAGCCTGTAATCCCACGCCTTGGGAAGCTGAGGTGAGTGGATTGCCTGAGCTCGCGGGTTCAAGACCCGCCTGGGCAACTTGGCGAGACCTCATCTCTACAATAAATTTAAAAAAAATCAGCCGGGCGTGGTAGCGTGCGCCTGTCTTTCCAGCTACTTGGAAGGCTGAGGCAGAAGGATCGCTGGAGCCCAGCAGGTCGAGGCTGTGGTGGCCGGGATTGGCCACTACACTCCAGTCTGGGCAATGGAGTGAGACTCCAACTCAAAAAAAAAAAAATTGTTGACTACCATGGAGATAAAGATTTAGCTCCTTTTGATACTCTGGCCCCAATCTCTCTACACATTCTACCTGTAGAGTTATATTATTATTTTGGTTAGGCCAATATAGATTATTATGGGCTCATCATGTTTTTGTGGCTAAGCTACGTAGTCAACTATGACTACTTGGGCATACCTTTTAATTTTCTAAGGACTTATAATTGTTTCTTTTAAAACATTTTCTTGAGATCCCCTCTTAGTACAGCCAGCAACGTATCAGTCTCATAAAACATTTTAAAATTTTTCTGTGTATTTTTTGATGATTCAGTCATCAAATATCTGCTATTTATTGAATTACACCCTCAATATATTCCGAAGTATTGGGTTTTCTATCCATTTCATTTTCTCAGAGAAACCTTTACCAGAATCTTCTGAACTTCTCCAGCCTCCACTAGTATATATACTGTCAGGTATATAGCTGTTTCCTCTGATTTCTCCTTGTTGCCATCCAGCAGAATCTCTATATCCCTCTATTCTGTTGTGGATATCCTGTTTTACACTTCCCCTAACTTCCTCTTTCTTGGTTTGCTCACGTGTTTTGAGGAAGAAGGGGCTTGTGAGAGGCAAATTTTCTGATTCGCTGCATTTTTGAAGCTTTCCTTCTTTTACCCTCCCTTTTGATTGCCAGTTTGGGCACAAAAAATACCCATCTAATCAGATTAAAAATAAAATCCTTTCAGAATAATAATTCTTCAGAGACTTCCTATTGTTTTCTAGATTCCAGAATTGCAACCAGGAAGTTCAAAGACATTCTGATTCTTAATCTTTCTCGAGTAACTTGTATTTTTAATTAGTCTGTTTGGTTTCCCTATGTAGAAAGTAGTAGATCTACTAATACTTATTTCCAACTCCAGTGTTCTAAATTTCATGATGATGTGTCTGATGTGGATCTGTTTTTATTTCCTGTGTACTCATCAAGGGACCTTTTCACTCTGGAAACTCACGCTCTTCGATTGCAGGGAATTTTATTTTTCTTTCTTCTTTTTTTTTTTTTTTTTTTTTTTTGAGTTGGAGTCTCACTCCATCACCCAGACTGGAGTGTAGTGGCACGCTCCCGGCCACCACAGCGTTAACTTGCTAGATCCTTCCACTCAGCCTTCCAAGTAGCCGGAACTACAGGCGCGTGCTACCACACCCGGCTAATTTTTTGATTTGTTGTAGAGATGAGGTCTCGCCAAGTTGTCTGGGTGGGTCTCGAACCCATGGGCTCAAGCAATCCACTCGCCTTGGCCTCCCAAAGTGCTGGGATTACAGACTGAGTCACTTTTATTCTTAATTACTCTTATTTAAATACCATCTTGTTCTTCATTAATGACTACAATGACTTGTTTTATCTTTATGAGACTATTAATAACTCTTTTTGAAGTTTCTTCACCTTATATAGTCGCTGGTTTTTTAAAAGCAGTTTTGGCCTTTCTTTTTCTCTTATTGGTGTTTGTTAGGGCCTTTTATAGGGTGCTTTGTGATCCTCATATTTCAGGGTAGGATATCAAGGTGGGTTTGGAAGCTCTGAGCATGTGAAACTTTGAGCAGGTGCTTTGTGATGCTCATATTTCAGGGTAGGATATCAAGGTGGGTTTGGAAGCTCTAAGCATGTGAGCAGTCTTCCTTGGAAGGCTCTACCTGGGGTGTTTGATGCATGCCAGTGTCAGTATCTTTAGGCTTTTCCTTTTAGGCTAATTGGATTCCTTAGGCAAGGCACTTCCAAACTTCTGCCCAGAGAGTAAAGGTTTGATTAGCAAAACTGTAGCACCTGAGTGGGAGAGCGGACACGGATTTCAGTTTTCAGCTTATAATCGCTCACTCAAGTCTACTGTTTTTTACTATGGTACTCCTTGTACCATAAACATTTCAGTTTTACTCTTTTTTAGAAAAAAATTCTTCCAGTCTGGTGCCAGGATAAAGAAGAGAGCAGTTACCAATTGTGCCAAGTGAAACAGATCTAGGCCTCCAATTGCTTCTTCTTGTTTTTTTTTTTTTAATCACTTCTACAACTCCCACCCCGCCAAGCCTAACTGTTCTTTGTACTGGTTCTTCATGTCAGAGGTACCTGTTGCTGCCATTTACTGGGCATTTTGAAGATTTTGCTACGTAAATTATGTCGCTTCCTATCTTTCCCCTCTGTAGGCTTAGCTTTTCAGTTTTTTAGAACTGGTAAGTCACTTAGCATTAATCTGCCTGGTGTCTGTAAAATTCCACTATTGCTGTCTCCTCTCCTGTCCCCCCACTTCCTGGTAAGTTTATGCTCTCCTCTTCATCCCCAAATAGCTTGATTACCATGCTTGGGAGGGGACAAAAGTTCAATGCAAGGTATTTGCCTCCACAGGCGAAGCAATCTTTTATATTTCCTACACTTGGAGGAGCAATGGTTTTTATCTCCATCTTAACTCTGTTCACTGCATATTGCTTACCTGGGGTACTGCGTTGAGATATAGTCTGAAATGGAGTCTATGTTAGTGGAAATTGAATAGACATATTGATTAGTCTTTGCAGAAGATGAGGTAGTGGAAGCATGTATATCACATACACCGGTAGTACTTTTGTATAATTTAACATGATCAAGATCGTGCTTAAAATGGTGAGTGGAAAATCCTGACTTCTAAGATCTAAATTTTAGTTAAGGCTTATTGTTTTTGTTTTAAATAATGATATAATGCTATAGCATGCTATTTATCTGATGTTTTCCTATGAAGTTTATAGTCATTCAGTAAATACATACTAAATATCTGCTGGACAGTGAGAAACTCTTATTGGAAAACAAAAAAAAAGTAGAACTTTTTTTTTAGTTGGAATCTCACTCTGTCATCCAGACTGGAGGGCAGTGGCCACTCCCGGCCACCGCAGCCTCGACCTGCTGGGCTCCGGCGATCCTTCCGCCTCAGCCTTCCAAGTAGCTGGAACTACAGGCGCGCGCTACCATGTCTGGCTGATTTTTGATTTATTGTAGAGACGAGGTCTTGCCAAGTTGCCCCAGGCGGGTCTTGAACCCACGGGCGCAGGCAAAGAAGAACTTTCATTTTCCCTTCTTTGGAATTTGTGAGGACAGCAAAATAAGAAATATAGAAATATTTTGAATCTAAAAATGCTAAATATGATGACAAAGTGGAGCACATTTGAACGATACAGATTTTAGATCACCTCATTCAGGGCCATTAAGCACAGTGAAAGCTAAATTTTCATTTGCCTCTTCTTTATATTTTCTTTCTCTCCCCTCCCTCCCTCCCCTCCCCTCTCTTTTTTGAACAGCTGCTGCTGCTGGTGGCCAGTAACTTTCATAGGTATCCTGGGGGCCCAGAAGTACTCTTCACCTTGCAGTTGAAAAATAATGACTTATATGAAGGCCCAGAGAACAAACATCATGGAGTTGCTAGTCTCTTGTTCTACCCCGATAGATTATCCAGGTCATGCTGGTCAATACGTATAGACATCATCAATCCTACTCGGGCAAGAATGATCTCCACCTTATTCCAAATTAGAGATTTGTTCCTCCATCACCATTTTCTTGTCATTTTCCCTAACAAATTGAGTTTAAAAGTGTGTGTGATCCAGGAATTGATGAGTTAATTTTTAAGAAAAGTTTGCTCACTGCTCAAAGAAACCAAAGATGACACAAACAAGTGGAAAAATATCCCATGCTCATGGATTGGAAGAATCAACATTGTGAAGATGTCCATCTTACCTAAGGCAATCTACAGATTTAATGCAATACCCATCAAATTACCAGCAACATTCTTCTCAGACCTAGAAAAGACAACACAGGAATTCATACGGAAACACAAATGACCAAGAATAGCCAGAACAATCCTCAGCAAAAAAAAAAAAAAAAGCAGGTGGTATCACATTACCAGACTTCAAACTCTACTGTAAAGCTACAATAATCAAAACAGCTTGGTATAGGTACCGGAACAGGCATATAGATCAATGGAATAGAACTGAGATTCCAGAAGCAAAACCTCAATTTCTCAACCAACTCATCTTTGACAAAGCCTCCACCACCTACCACTGGGGAGAGGAGAACCTATTCAGTAAATGGTACTGGGAAAACTGGCTGACCACATGCAGAAGATTGAAACAGGACCCCTATCTATCCCCATGCACAAAGGTTAATTCCAAATGGATCAGAGACCTAAATGTAAAACCTCAAACCATAAGAACCTTAGAAAATGAAGGACATATCCTCATGGAAATTGGAACTGGCATCCAGTTCCCTGAACAAAATCCGAAACCCACAGGCCATAAGAGATAAGATAGACAAGTGGGACCTCATTAAACTGACAAGCTTCTGCAAAGCCAAAGAAACCATCAGGAGAGCAGGGAGACAGCCTACAGACTGGGAAAAAGTATTTGCCAACACCAGGTCTGACAAAGACTTAACATCTCGGATCTACAAGGAACTCAAATGTGCTGAAAAGAAAAAAATGAACAACCCCATTATAAAATGGGCAAAAGATATGAACAGACACTTCACAAAAGAAGACATGCAAGTGGTCAACAGACACATGAAGAAATGTTCAACCTCACTAATCATCAGGGAGATGCAAATCAAAACCATACTGAGATACCACCTAACTCCAGTCAGAATGGCAATTATCAATAACTCAAAAAATAACAGTTGCTGAAGAGGGTGTGGCGAAAAGGGAACACTTCTACACTGTTGGTGGGAGTGCAAACTAGTACAACCTCTGTGGAAAACAGTATGGCGATTCCTAAAAGCTCTAAATATTGACCTCCCATATGACCCCACAATCCCCCTACTGGGAATATACCCTGAAGAACTCAAATCATTCTATAAAAAAGATACCTGCACACGTATGTTTATTGCAGCATTGTTCACAATAGCAAGAACCTGGAAGCAACCATGCTGTCCATCAAAAGAGGACTGGATGAAAAAAATGTGGTACATATACACGATGGAATACTACGCAGCCATAAAAAAGAACAAAAATCATGAATTTTGCAGCAACCTGGATAGAACTAGAGTCTATAATACTGAGTGACCTCTCACAGAAACAAAGATGTGTATCACATGTTTTCACTCATATAGTGAACCTTGAACATCCAACATAATACTATAAGAAAATGACTGACAGTGGTGGGAAACTATGGGGGGGAGGGGAAGAGAGCTGGCATTAACGGTAGTAAATATCTGTCTAGGGATGGGGAGACACCTTGTATCAACAAGGGTGCCCGAACAAAGCATATTTGTATACCTAACCCTTACTGTACCCTACAATATCATAATAAAAAAATTGCTAAAAAAATTAAAAATAAATAAATTAAAATTAAATAAATAAAAACCGTTTGTTTAAAATAAATAAATTAAAAATAAATAAATAAAAACCGTTTGCTCATATGGACTTTCGTTTTATGCATTTATTTTGACTTAATTTTTCTGAACTGAGTGGGAGTGGGAATATTTTATTTTGCCTTAATTTTTCTGAACTGAGTGGGAGTGGGAATATTTTACCTTCTCTTTTCTTTCAAATTCAGAAATACCTACATAAAGTACTCATTTAATCATTCACCACCTCACTTTTTGAAACCATGTTATTTTCTCCTTTTTCCTATGTCTTCCCATTCATGGCTCCCACAAATATATATTCAAAACCTTTGTATTGGCTACTGGATTCAAAATGAAAAGGAACAGGCTTTTTAGAAAAAAAAAAAAATCCTAAGAGAATTGGGATCAGTATTTGGTTGAAGGTCTCTCACCTTGAGGGCATGCATGGATCTTGGACAATCTCTCTTCATGAGTTTTAAAAAGGATAAGACACTGTGACTGCTGTTTCATCAGCCTGCTCATTTGACTTCCAATGACCATGTCCCCTGAGTTTAGATTTTAACATTGTATGGTTTTTGTTGTTGTTAGGGTTAGAAAAACACATTTATTGAGGGTATTCGTTTCTAGATGTGTTTAAGGATTATAATGTATTTAAAATTTGAATTGACTTTGAATATTAACACTCAGTGTCCTCACTGGCCTTGTTCCGCTCCTAACTCACAGTGTCCCTTTCCGGAGTTAAGCCAATTTGCCCGCCATTTCCTGCAGTTGACTTGCTGATTTTTATTATGTCATCTGTGTTTTCCCTTCTTTTCAATCTCCTGCTGGCCATAGAATGATTGCACTGTTCCTCTACCAATTCTAAACGTAATTCCTCTGGTCATCTTTTCCAGATTAGCTTCCATTCCTAAACATATCACTTCTTGGATAGGCTTCTTTGGACTCTCATGTCTTTTATTCAGAGTCTGTTATTCCTACTGATTTCCATGTGATTTGATTATTTCTTGAATGCATGGATTATATTTCCTAAATAGATTGTAAGCTCCTTATGAGCAGGGATCGTAACTTTTAACTCCTTTGTATGCCTAGTATAGTGCTGTGCACAGGTAGGCGCTGAATAAATGCTTGTTAATTAAATTGAATCAATTTAACTTACAGCAGTTGCATTATGAAACACAAACTTTAGTATCTGCATGAAAAAAATGTTCTATGGTATAAAAAATGGATTATCTGTTGATAACCTGAGTTTATTATCTCATTAGATTATCATGCAGATGAGTAAATAAAGCTTTCTACTTGAATCATTTTTGCACTGTGTAGTAATAAGATTAGAGGACTGATTTATTGTGTTGTCAAATTTACAATGTGAATGACACTCCCTTGCTCTTGATCTATTTCATAAGAATGATGAAGATGACAAACTGTTCTCCAAAGACATTCATCTGCTAAAGGCAATGTACTTTTAGAACAAATGTTCATGTTATAAACAGTCCAACGTAATATGCCAAGTTTCAGTCTTTCTATAAATTAAAAAATATGCTGGATTTTTGTAACACTAAATATTCACCTGATTTAGCTTGAGCAATTTTAGAAATTTTAACCCTTTCACTCTCCAGAGAGCTTTTGAAAATATTTCCATATTGCTACATAGACAAAAATCTAAAACAGTGAAGTTCACTCCCAAAGCCTTTTTTTGTCAGAGAATAGCCTTGCACCAGGATGATCTAATTGCTATAGATTATTTCTATATCTTTATTTCCACATCTAATAACCAAACCTTTGAGAAAATTTAGAATACTAAGAAATGAACAAAAATCTAGACTATACTTTTTATTCTTTCTGAAAGGAACAAAAAAGGTCTCACAAAATATGCGAAAACTAAATTTACTTATCTGAAGAACCTTGCCATTCATTTGAAAAACTGAAAAACTGCATTTCAACACACTCTCTGAATTATTTCCTTTGGCTTCTGAGAAGAATACATAATTTAAGCCATATCAGGAGCTTTATATTAACAAAACTGTGACCTGAGCTAGGTTGTTCTATCCTGGTGGATCCCTATAGATACCAGAGCCAGAAATAAAGCCAGCCAAAAGAAGTAAGTAAGCAAGGTTTCAAAAACAACAGACATACGAATGGGACTGACAGGGATTCTCAGCTCTCAACGCACATATGCACGAGCATTTCTGAACAAGACTTTGAGACACAGCCATAACTTTATTTTAAAATAAACTGTAGCCATAAATTTTGTTCCAGTCTGCTTCCTGTAAGAAGGAAATGCCGATATAATGGTGTCAGGAGCTCTTAAACCCCTGTATGAGATTTCTTTTTCTCAAAGTTTTTTTGTAATGAGTCACCTTGACCATTTGGCCTTGGATTATCCAACTGCCTTTTTCAGGACTGGTTTTGATGACTCAGCAGTTATGAATAATGAAAAAAAGTTACCTCCTCTGAAAACTTAAATAGCACATAACACACATCCTCATACATGCCACCAAGAAGTTTGTATACAAATTACTGGGTTTATTTAAAAATTTGTAAGAATGGCACATGCTCATTAAAACAAGTTTGGAAAACTTTAGTAGAACAAAAATGTAAGAGAGACACTACAATTCCACTACTTAGAATAACTTGCATTAATACTTTGTTTTTTTCAAATTTCAAATTCAATACATATGCGGACTCAATAAAGTAGTTTGGTTCATTAGATATATATAGTTTTAGTCTACTCTTTATCATTTCCCATGTCATAAAATTAGGACTTTTTAATAACTAAAATAGTATTCCTAAATAGTCATAAATTATAATTAACTTAATTAGTCTGCTGGTGTACATTTAGATTTTTTTATTTTTATTTTTTAATTTTAAAGTTGGAATCTCCCTTTGTTTCTCTGGCTGGATTACAGTGACACAGTCACAGAACTGCTAGGCTCAGACAATCCTTCTGCCTCAACCTTCCGATACCTGGAACTAACAGGTGTGTGCCAC